AAATAAATACTCTTTTACATAGTTGAGACAATACAAAAAAAAAAGAAGAGAAATGGGCTAAGATACAAAACATAACAAAATACAACTCCTAATCTTCTTCAAGCTTGCGGGGGATTGTCATCCGCCACTTCTTTTCTGAGCCCTGAAAAATGTTAAATAATAGGGGTGAGCAAAATTGCTCAGTAGGTAGTGCCTAAAACACACCTCTTGAGACCCCGTGAATCCACACAATGAATAGGAATAAGGAAATTGTGATCATATCATGCCGGGAGTAAAAGTATGACTACGATACTACATCATTAATCCAATACCACAAATAAATATATCATGCAATGAGATGTCATGCCATGCAATGTCACTCCCTATTTTTCTAAAACTATGTCCATTATCATTTCCAAACCGTTAGTGAACCTGTCCCATGGCAACTCCATGGTGGCACGAGAGGATGATTGGTCACTGTCCCTGACCCATGGCAACTCCATAGCGTCATTTGGGGCTTAGGTAACTCAACCACACTACGGCGGTCTGCCTAGTCCCCTCTAGACCTCACTAATGCCGCGGTCCCTAGGTAGCTCCTAGGCAGCCGAGTTTTTCACAAAAATCATTTTCTATCAAAACTTTTCCCCAAAAATATTTTCATTTCCGTTTTCAAATCAATTTTTCCGTTTCATTACCCAATGTCATGCTTGAATGTCCTAAATATTTCAATGTTGTGCAAATAGGGAAATTTCATGCATTTCAAGTAAATAATAAAAAATGAGCATATTATACAAAAATTCCCTAAGTATAATTCATACTTTTTATTCACAAAATTCAACACTAAAGGCAACATGGGTATAAAATTATCATCAATTAGACATGATTCACCATCATTTACTAAATAACACATAATCACATGCTTTCACAACATATATAAAGAACATTGTATAGAAGTTCACAAATTAAGCATGAAAAATCACAAATTTGAGGGAAATGACTCACATAAACCCAAGAAATTGAGGATTAGGAACTCCTACCTCAAAGGAGGAGAAAACCCCCAAATTTTCACCATAAACCCTTAAAATGGGTCTCAATTTTCAAACTCCCTAGGTTGCTCAAAACTAAAATTGTTGGTACATACGTGTAGAGCTCGCCGTGCTCTCCGTTTTGCTGTAAACGGCACTTAAAAACACTAAGAAATGAGGGAGGAATCAACAATTGAAGCTTTGAAGAAAAAAGAAAAGAAAATGCTGAGAAGAGGAGAGAAGCAGACCAATGGGGAGAGAGAGTGAGGAAGCAGAGACCAAAAATGTAGTCTTATGACCACTTAGTAAAATTGTGGGCCCCACAGCTATAATAATAAAAAAAATCCTCTTAACACACACACACACATATATATAAGAAAACCTCAAAACAAAAAAATTTCATCCCCGAAATCAAGCCATACCTGAGGAAGAAAACAACGCTGGGTACTTGGAGCGAACCTCCTGTTCGAGCTCCCAAGTAGCCTCCTCGACTCCGTGGTGTCTCTAAAGAACTTTCAATATTAGTATCGTCTTGTTCCTCAACACCTTCTACTGTGTGTCAAGGATCTGTACTGATCCCTCTACATAGGAAACATCCTCATCAATGTCTACATCAACCCAACTCAAAATGTGAGATGGATTCGGTTCATACTTTCATAGCATCGATACATGGAAAACATTATGGACCCTGTCCAACTGTGGTGGCAAAACAAGTCGGTAGGTAACCTCTCCTACACGGTCCAAAATCTTAAAAGGTCCAATGAATCGTGACGATAACTTGCCACTCTTCCCGAACCTCAACAACCCCTTTCGTGGAAAAACCCGTAGAAAAACGTGGTCTCCCACCTCAAAGGATAACGACCGTCTCCGCTATCTGCATAACTCTTCTATCGGCTCTGAGCTGTAAGTAACCTCTCTCTGATCAACTTAATCTTCTCGGTAGTCTCGAGTACAATGTCGGGTCCTAAGGCGGCTGTCTCGCCTATCTCAGTCCAACGAATAGGAGACCTACAAGGTCTACCATACAACGCTTCAAATGGAGCCATCTAGATACTCGCCTGATAACTGTTGTTGTAAGCAAACTCAATAAGCGGTAGATGATCTTCCCAACTACCACCCAAGTCAAGCACACATGCCCGAAGCATATCCTCCAAGATCTGGATAGTACGCTCCGACTGGCCATCTTTCTGTGGATGGAATGCTGTTCTAAGATGCAACGCTGAACCAAACGCTGCTCCCAGAACTTCGAAGTGAACTTAGCATCCCTGTCCAAAACAATAGTTACTGGAACTCCATGTAACCTTACAATATCCTTCACATAAAAAGCACCAAGTGCCTCCGCATCATTTGTTGCCTTAATAGGCAAAAAGTGAGCCGTCTTGGTCAACCTGTCAATGATGACCCATACAGCTTCATTGCCCCTCCGTGACCTTGGAAAATCTATCACAAAATCCATAGCAATCTGTTCCCATTTCCACTATGCTACAGGTAATGGTTGCAACAAACCAGCTAGTCTCTGATGCTCGGCCTTCACCTGCTGACAGGTAAGGCACTTAGCCACAAACTGAGCAACATATTTCTTCATCCCGTTCCACCAATACTGACGTCTCAAATTTTGATTCATCTTGGTACCACCTGGATGAACTGCAAAGCGGGAAGTGTGAAACTCCTGTAAGACGTCCTCACGACAAACCGTGGGAACCACCAACAAACCCCTGAATCGCAGACCCCATCTGCATGCAAGGCCCAATCTTTCACTGTCTCACCACTGGAGATCAAAGCGTGAATGGCATCTAAATCTGGGTCCTGTCTCTGTGACTCAATCACTCGTACAACAAGAGTAGGCTGAGCCACAAGACTAAACAAGAATGCTGGCTCACTGTCAACATCGTCATCAAAACAATACAATCCCATTTCTGCCAGATCTTTAAGCATCTTCCATTTTCGGATGGCCAAACTAGCCAAAGTTCCACGAAATTTCCGGCTTAAGGCATCTGCTACCACATTTGCCTTGTTCGGATGATATTGCAAGTCAAAATTATAGTCCTCCAAGAACTCAATCCATCTTCTCTGTCTATTGTTCAAGTCCTTTTGGGAAAAAAGGTACTTAAGACTTTTATGATCCGAGTATACCTTGAATCTCTCACCATATAAGTAATGTCTCTAACACTTCAAGGCTTATACAACTGCCGCTAACTCTAAATCATGAGTAGGGTAGTTAAGCTCGTGAGTCTTCAATTGTCGAGACCCATAAGCCACTACTCTACCATCCTACATCAACACACATCCTAAACCATCACGTGAAGCATCACAATAGATCACATAACCCAAGCCACGCTTAGGTATCACCAACACCGGAGCCGTAGTCAACCTTGTCTTCAATTCCTGAAAGGATGACTCACAGGTTTCATTCCATGCGAACTTAATCCCTTTCCGGGTCAAACGGGTCATAGGCGCTGCCAAGCGAGAAAAATCCTTCACAAATCTTTGGTAGTAACCCGCTAAACCAAGAAAACCCTGAGTCTCAAAAATATTCTTGGGTTGCTCCAAATTCAAAACTGCTTCAACCTTTGATGGATCCACTGACCCTCCACCTTCTGAAACAACATGCCCAAAAAACTTCACCTCCTGTAGCCAAAACTCACATTTCTCATATTTGGCATATAATCGATGTTCCCGCAAAATCTGTAAAACAATACTCAAATGGACCTCGTGCTCCTCCCGAGATCGTGAATACACGAGAAAGTCATTCACGAAAACTACCACAAACTGGTCCAAGTAATCGTAAAAGACGCGGTTCATCAAGTCCATAAATGCCGCTGGCGCATTAATTAAGCCAAAAGGCATAACAAGGAACTCATAATGTCCATACCGTGTACGGAATGCTGTCTTTGGGATATCCTCATCCTTGACCCGTAACTGATAGTAGCCTGACGTCAAGTCAGTCTTCGAAAAACAACTGGCTTCTTTCAACTGATCAAACAAATCATCTATCCTTGGCAAATGATACTTGTTCTTGATGGTGGCATGATTCAACTTCCGATAATCAATGCACAACCTTAAAGAACCATCTTTCTTAGTAGCAAACAAGACCGGTACACCCCACAGTGACACACTCGGTCTGATAAAACCTTTTATCCTCAAATCATCAAGCTGCCTCTTCAATTCTTCCAATTCAACTGGTGCCATTCGATACGGTGCCATAGAAATCGGCGCGGTACCGGGCATTAAATCAATAGAGAACTCCATTTCTCGGTGTGGAGGCAACTCTGTCAAATCCTCCGGAAACACATCCAGAAAATCACGAACAACCGCAGGATAATCCTCTTTCACAACATCATCTTCTTCGGCTATAAGGCTAGCCAAGAAGTAATCACCACGACTCAATCCACGAACTCCATAAAACGATGAAATGTGAGAATCACTCTGATCTCCCATGAAAAAGAAACAGTCTCCCTCGGGAGTGCAAACTATGACTTTACCTCTAAAACAGTCGATCGTGGCACGAAAGAAAGCTAACCAATCCATCCCGATAATGACATCAAAGCCAGTCATCTCCAGGAGGATAAGGTCAAACACAAAGGTCTGCCCGGCTATCATAATGGAACAATCCCATGCAACTCGACTCAAAGATACTGAAACCCCAACTGGCGTATCGACACACAACGCCCGATCCATGAAACTGACCTCTAACCACGATGCAAGTGCAAATGATGATTATATGAAGAAATAAGATGCACCAGAGTCAAACAAAATACGGGCCCAAGAACCAAACACTGGAAATATACCTCGGAGAACTAACGATCCAGGAGATGCATCAGTCGGTGCAAGTGTAAAGATATGTCCCTGTGGTGCCTGTGCCTGAGAACTGCCAACCTGAACACCTGATTGCTGAACTAACATAGTAGGAGTATCCCTTCTAACTGGCCGTGAACCCTGAGAGGACATGGCAGGCTGTGATGGTGGTGGTCTGAAACCTGACTAAACCGTAGCCGACTATGACGGCCTCTGCTGTGACCCTCTGCCACTACTGGTGCCTGCTCCCTGATTAGGACAATTCTTAACCTTATGACCCTGTTGGCCACAACCAAAACAAGCCCCAGAATTAACCGATGTCTGTGGACATTCTGACTTGTAGTGACTCGGTTGATTACAACGATAACAAATGACACCAATCCTGGTAGACCCTGCTGGCATAGGAGTGGTGGGAGTGGATCGTGCTGACTGCTGCCCCTGAAACTGAGATGAACCACCCCTGTTCCTCTTCCCTAAAGGTCCCTCTGAAAATGACCATGCATTCTTCTTTTGCTTCCACTGCTCCCTTCTTGCATCCTTATCTTTAATATCAACCTCAAGCATCAAGGCCCTCTCTACTGCCTCAGAATAAACTTTGATAAACTGTGCCGTTATCAACGGCCTCATTCTATCATTAAGACCGGAAACAAATTTCCGAGTCTTGTCAACTTCATCTTTTACCATTTTCGGAGCAAAGCGAGAAAGTGAAGTGAACTTGTTCTCATACTCCGCCACTGACATATTGCCTTGAATAAGGCCAAGAAACTGGTCTTTTAACTCCCATCTTTTAGAAAGCGAAAAATACTTCTCGTAAAATAGTTCCTTGAACTTGTCCCAACTCATCTCTTCCACCTTATGCCGATTCGTAACCATTTTCCACCAAAGTTTGGCATCCTTAGCAAACTTGTAAGTTGTTAGGATGATCTTCAGGTGATCCTCTGTCACATCCATTGAGGTCAACTGTGTCTTAACTTGATCCATGTAGTCGTCTGCTGCCATTGGATCTGCACCGCCCTCAAACATAACCGGCATCAGCTGAGAAAACCCCTTAATGATCTTGAGACGCTTCTGAGTTGGCGTCTCCTCAACTTGAACTGTAGGTTGTGGTGCCGACTGCGACTGAGCAGCAATCGTTGCCCTTACGGCATTTTAGCAACAAACGATTCAACTCCAATACCACAGAACCTTCACCCACTTCTACGGGTGCTTTAACATTATCCCTCCTTGTGGGGACAACTCTAGGGGGAATCAAGTCCCTAAGAAGTGTGTCCTCATCATTTAGCACCTCTGGATTGGAGCTGGAGCTCTCGCCAACATCACCCCTAGTCGGTCTAGGGCCAACTTCCCTGGTTTCCTTACGCCATGACATCGTGCTAAAAAACAAATAAAATGATTTAATAACGATAACACTGAGGTCCAACTGTGAACAACTCAACATAAAAGGATGCTATACTAACACTTAACATGCAATACTATGCAATGAACACATTAATATAAGCATATAAGCACATAAGCACATAAACAAGTAAACAGTTAAGCATGCCTTTTCACGTAGCAACACTTTTGCAATTAAGGAATTTAACAATGCAAATGACTTCCCAGACAACCCTAGGTAGGCCTCTACCAGTCGTCCTAATGGTTTTCGAACCAAGGCTCTAATACCAAATTTGTAATGACCCTAAACTGATCCTATTTATAAAAAAAATTCGGCATGACCTCCCCTAAAAAGGGGCCTACCACAACCTGCTCAAATGAAAAAAAAATGCAATTGTCTGTCAAGACCCTAGCCAACCTGCCCTAACACACAATACAAAAGAAATATAATGCATTCCCCAATACCATAACATCAACGACCTTCCCAAATAAGCCCATCAACGTCATCCCCTACAACTTAAGCATTTAAAACAAAAATAATGAAGTATCTTAGTTATGTTACAGGGCCATGATTTGCAAAAATAAATACTCTTTTATATAGTCGAGACAATACAAAAAAAAGAAATGGGCTAAGATACAAAAGATAACAAAATACAACTCCTAATCTTCTTCAAGCTTGCGGGGGATTGTCATCCGCCACTTCTTTTCCGAGCCCTGAAAAATGTTATATAATAGGAGTGAGCAAAATTGCTCAGTAGGTAGTGCCTAAGACACACCTCTTGAGACCCCATGAATCCACACAATGAATATGAATAAGGAAATTGGGATCATATCATACCGGGAGTAAAAGTATGACTACGATACCACATCATTAATCCAATACCACAAATAAATATACCATGTAATGAGATGCCGTGCCATGCAATGTCACTCCCCATTTTTCTAAAACCATTTCCATTATCATTTCCAAACCTTTAGTGAACCCATCCCATGACAACTCCATAGCGGCATGGGGGGAGGATTGGTCACTGTCCCTGACCCATGGCAACTCCATAGCGTCATTTGGGGCCCAGGTAACTCAACCACACTACGGCGGTCTCCCTAGTCCCCTCTAGGCCTCACTAACGCCGCAATCCCTAGGCAACTCCTAGGCGGCCGGGTTTTTCACAAAAACCATTTTCTATCAAAACTTTTCCCCAAAAATATTTTCATTTCCATTTTCAAATCAATTTTTCCGTTTCATTGCCCAATGTCATGCCTGAATGTCCCAAATATTTCAATGTTGTGCAAATAGGGAAATTTCATGCATTTCAAGTAAATAATAAAAAATGAGCATATTATACAAAAATTCCCTAAGTATAATTCATACTTTTTATTCACAAAATTCAACACTAAAGGCAACATGGGTATAAAATTATCATCAATTAGACATGATTCACCATCATTTACTAAATAACACATAATCACATGTTTTCACAACATATATAAAGAACATTGTATGGAAAGTTCACAAATTAAGTATGAAAAATCACAAATTTGAGAGAAATGACTCACATAAACCCAAGAAATTGTGGATTAGGAACTCCTACCTCAAAGGAGGAGAAAACCCCCAAATTTTCACCACAAACCCTCAAAATGGGTCTCAATTTTCGAAATCCCTAGGTTGCTCAAAACTGAAATTACTGGTACACACGTGTAGAGCTCGCCGTGCTCTTCGTTTTGCTGCAAACGGCACTTAAAAACACTAAGAAATGAGGGAGGAATCAACAATTGAAGCTTTGAAGAAAAAAAGAAAAGAAAATGCTGAGAAGAGGAGAGAAGCAGACCAGCGGGGAGAGAGAGTGAGGAAGCAGAGACCAAAAATGTGGTCTTATGACCACTTAGTAAAATTGTGGGCCCCACAGCTATAATAAAAAAAATCCTCTTAACACACACACACATATATATATACGAAAACCTCAAAACATTACAGTAGGGATTTGGATTTTGGTTTTGTGGTGGTTGGTGTTTTTGGATATACGAAGACTGTTGGACCTGAATTTCGGGGATGAAATTCTTTTTAAGTGGTGAAGATTGTGATGACTTGGATTTTTGAAATTTTAATTTAATTGCCAAAGATTGATTATTTTATTTAAATTGGAGACTTGCACTATATATATATATATATATATATATATATATATATATATATATATATATTTTTTTTTTTTTTTATTGTTACATATTTTATATATGTTTTGTTGCATCTGAAGAAAATGGAACAGGTGGCCAAAAAATGCAAAGGAAAATTAAATAAGAGATAGGGTAGTTGGCGGGTCCCACTAAAGTTGTTTGATTTGGTTTGTTACCTATATATATATATATATATAAATGTAATATGATGGGATGATGGAAGGGACAGGCGAAATGGGAGGAGAGAGAAGTTGAGATTGTAATGGTGATGCAGTCATGGGACCCACAAATCGATTTTTTGACCAAAGAGTCTTTAGCTTTGAATTTCCTTCACGTGGGCTGAATTAGTGTGTTGTTAAGTTATGTCAGATAGAGATTTGAATTTACAGAAAAGTGAAGATACGGTAATAATATGGTAGGACCCACTGGTTGATATTTGGAGTGAAGTTTTTGGTTTTGTGCTTTATGCACGTGGGTTTATTAGCTGATTTTGTGTAAGGTCAGTGGGTTGCCTTGCTTGTATATCAAGTGTTTGGGACTTTGGTAAGAGAGCAAAGAAGACAAAAAAAATTAAGAGAGAGGAAAGATACAGAGTGAGCCGAGAGCGTAGAATTGCAGAGAGTGAGTTTTGAGGAAAAATAGAGGAGTCGAGAGTCTGCAGAGGTGGTCTTGGAGCTTGAAGCTTTGATGATCAGCGGGGAATAATTTGTTTTCAGTGTAGGGTTCTCTATACCTTGAATGGCATGGGGAGGTTTTGCTTCAATGTTTTTATTAAATGTTTTCTTGAAATACATATGTATTTTGTTTATACTCACCTGAATATGTTTATTTTATGAAGCTGTTTTTGTTAAACCTCCATAAAATTCTTGTTATGGTTTTTCCTACTAGAGCTTTTTGTCTCACCACCCTCCAGTTTCAGGTACCGAAGATAAATGGGGATGGCTAGATTTAGGGCTTAGGCTGAAGAGTTGGCGTTGCAAGATTTATTTTTTTATTTGGAAAATTTTATGTATATTTGAGGAAATTTACTTTGTATAAAAGAGGACATTATTTTTATGATTCTGAGTGTATTATGATGTATTTGGATTTGTATAAATTGAAGATTTTATTAGAATTTTTGGGGTGTGACAGGTCCGAACCGTTAACCGGGTCCTTAACTGAACCCGAGGTTACCTAATTCAAACTACATTGTGTCTGAGGTCAACACATCATCCTTGAGTCCTAATTATGCTTCAAAAGGGTCTTAAACAACTATGCAAGACTCAAGGTTAACTGTGCCAAAGCATGTGCCTTCATCATATTAGGTGCTGATTTCACCCCTAGGTATGTAATTAATGGGATTGATTAGAAACTAAACAATGGTTTGAAAAACAACATGAAGAGGCCAAAAAGTTAGTCAATCTTTTTTTCCCAAGAAAGAGGGAGCTGTTGTTTTGGGCGTAACACTTGAAATGCATTTTCCAAAATTATCATGCATGTTGTGGAGTCAATAAAAAGAACAAGAGCTTCTCATCATTTTGAGAGATTAGTTAGGAAAAGAAAACTGAAAGTAGATTGATGGGTCACGTACACACACACAAAAAATAATAATAATAATAAAAAAATAAAAATGATGGGTCTTCAAAAGTTATTACATTCATTAAAACATACCTAAATTGGCCGACTCTTTTGCATGATCAATGAGGTGGAATGTGCTTCATTCATTGTCGTCCTCATTCACATCCTCGAAGACTACCTCATTATGATGTAAAGAGTAGATAACGACCTTAAGCCCATCATTTCCCATGATCTTTTGCTCTTCTTGAATTTGCCGGGCAGATTTTTCTATAGAGCGACTACACCAACGTACCTGAATGATCTCTAGAGTAGATACATCCCCTAGACTTGATGGGATCTCCTCAAGTAGTTCACAGTCATTCAGCACCAATGTTTGAAGGGTAGGAAAGTGACTGCTGGAGGTGTTCCATTGCCTAATGTCTAGGCCCCGGAGTTTCAAGAATTTGAGTTTGCCAAACTCCCCATCACTTGTGCTCCAACTTGGTCCCTCGAATGCCTTGTACGACAATTTGAGAACCTCGAGGCTGGGTAAACTCCCCAAGATTGACATTTGATCCCATGGTAGACGGAAGTTTGATAAAGTAAGGCTTTTGAGTTTTGGGGGGAACCTATCAAGATGGGAACACCTTTTGTATCCGTTGTAAATTAAGCTTAGTGTTTTAAGGTGAGCTAAAAAGTCCACTTTTGGAAAACTGTCATGTTCACATTTTAATTTTTTAAGATTGGGAAACAATTCCAAATCTCCTCCACCATGGAGTTTGCCTATGGTTTGCACGTTCTATAATACCGAGGGGGAGCCACCAGGGAGTTCGCTTGTGGTTTGCAGGTTCATGAATAGAGAGGGAGAGTTTTTATGGATATTTATACGACGCATACTATACACATGCCTCAAATTCACCATCTTCCGGATACCATTTAAGTATAATGAACCCTTCGATCCATTAATAATAATAGTTTCGAGGTTCCAGAGGTTGGATATCTTTAGCATGACACCCTCTCCCTGAACATGAAGTGCTAAATACCTCAAGTGAACTAACGTTTCTAATGCCTTTGGAATAGAGAAGATTTTAATGGATAATAAATTCAGCACCCGAAGAAGCATGAAGGCTTGACAGATGAATGATGCATCGTCAATCATAGATAAATCAAAAAGCGAACGACCAAAGGACAAGTAAGATCGGGTGCATACCTCATAAGGCTCAAAATTACCCTTAACAAAACGGTTATCATGGATGAACAATCGACATTGCCTATATGCAGAACTCTGTTCATGCCAGGAAGTCAGAAAATTGTCCTCACGTGCCTTTCTCAAGCATAACTCACGCAAAAGGTCATGGACACGACATGCTTTGATTCCACCGTCGGACCTTTTCTTTGAAACAATTGTTAGACTTCTGTCAATTAGATCCATCAAGTAATCCCCTGCCACTTCCTCCAAGCTTTTTTGCTCATTTTGCCGTATAAATCCCTCAGCGACCCCTAAAGAGATCAATTGCCTCACAGGGATTTCATAGTCTTCTGGAAATGCTCCAAAATAGAGGAAACATGGTTTCAAGTGCTGAGGCAAGTGGTTGTAACTCAGTGCTAGTGTATCCAGGTATTGTTCTGAATCACTAATAATATAGGAACCAACACTTCCACTGACATGCTTCCACCACTCTTCTGTCTTGTCTTTCTTTGCGAGAAGCCCTGATATTACAACAATTGCAAGTGGCAATCCTCCACACTTTTTTGCAATTTCCTTTCCAATTTCTATCAAATCTATAGGACAACTCTCTTTTCGGAATACCTTAAAACGTAATAGATTCCAACTTTCATCTTCATTTAGAAAACTCAAATGGTGAGGTTTAGCCTGCAAAGCCATTGCAACATTTACAAGTCGAGTGGTGAACACAATTCTGCTTCCATTGCGGTCATTTGGAAAATACCTTTTCAAAACATCCCAAGCTTCGATACTCCATAAATCATCAATGACAACAAGATATCGCTTACCTTCCAAAGCTTTGTAAAAGTGCTCACCTAACTCTTCATCACTCATGTTGCGAATATTACCAAAAACATGAATGCATGCAGAATTTATAATGCTAAGCAATATATCTCTCTTCTGGTATACTTGAGAGACATAGGTCCATGCACGAATATGAAAGTAATGCACGATGAAAGGATTATTATACACTTTTCTTGCCAGAGTTGTCTTACCTAGTCCAGGCATTCCAACAATGGGGATGTATTTAAGATCCTTTTCATGGTCTCCGGCAAGCAGTTCCATTAATGTCCTTATGTCCTCGTCCAAACCAAGTACTCCTTCTTCCACTGCTATGGGGTTGGCAGTTATTGATGAAACTCCGCGGGAAGAACTTGTGATTTGCTGGATTCCTTCTCCAATGCCATGCACCTTCTTCTTCTCATAAATCTCCATCACCTCTCTCTTGATAGACTTGATGTCTTCCGTCACATCGCCGAAATATCGATGCATATTCACATAGGCAAGTGTTGGCGACATCATTGCAATTAATTGGCACCAAAGCGCCTCCATTTCCTTTGCATTGACAGCCTTTTTCTTTTCTATGACACTGCCAAATTCATGATGAATTTTCTCAGCTAGATTGATCATCTGTTGGAACTTATTGACGAGGAGACGAAATCGATCCGACATGTGAGACTGAGGCCATATGACACTCAACCCCTTGTAATAAATATTGATTACTTGTATCATAATTGGGTTGAGCTCTTCTATGATGCCACCAAATTCATTATGAATTTTCTGAGCTAGGTTGACCATGTCGTTGAATCTACAAAAGAGGAGAGGAACAATCCATGGCATACGCAACATGGAATGACGGTGTGTATCGGAAAAATAACGAAAGGGATCGGTATTTTTCTTAACCACCTTACGGGAAAAACTGCTGAGGAGATGAACTTCATCAGAAGATTCAAGCCATCTGAGTCTGGATGATGATCCCCCCTTGTCATAAATATCCACAACCTGCTTTATGAGAGACTTGATCTGCTCTACTTCTATGACAACGTCATCAGATTCAGAATTAGAGCCACGTCGTCGTCCATGATGAACTTTCTGAGACTCAAGCCATGACAGAATCTCCATCATCTCTGTGTTGGAAATCAATTTGGTACAATCAATATATTCCATCAATAGCTTAGAGCCGTCATTAATTTTCTTAGACTGGTGGACACATTCCTTGTAAATATTATTCAGCTGTGTGTTGGATGTACTCCCTTTGGCACGAAATTCAAAGCATGCCGCGCTTAGATCCATCTCCGACAGAGTGTTGATGACTACAAAGGAGTCGATAATAATATCAACTTGGTAAGTGACATCTCTAATCTTTGCCACTACTTCATCTCTTCATAGACCCACTCCATTTGCTCCTTCTCAATCACAATCAATTTCTTCCGGGAGTTCATTAGCTGCATCATGTGTTCATTAGCTGTCATAGTTCTCTCTCTCTGATCTCTCTCAAGATTGATAGATGATCTTCCTCCCTTAAAAATATTTGCATCAAATATATGTTTCTCTCTTTTGTTGGAACTAATTATACATCACTTGATGAATTACTAATGTTTCGGATGGGGAAGAAACTACACACGCAAAGACGGAGTCACAGTCCTGACCTTAAAAGTCATAATTTTTTTTTTTTTTTTTTGAACTAACTATCCATGCTGCCGCTACCGCTACCACTACCATACATTCATCATGATTGAATATCTATATAATATCTACAGAATTCATATAACCAACCAAATTAAAAGTTTTCATCTTTTAAATTAGATATTCGAGAACTTGATTTAAGCGGCCTACATTTATCTTTGCGGTTAAAAAAAGGTTTTTTTTTTTTGAAAAAATATATACATAAATAAATTTTGGGAGCCCGAAATATAAAAATAATCCATTTCTAAAGTTAAATTTTCAATTTGATTGACTTAGATAACATCAAGAATTATTATTTAGGTCCAAAATACCCTCCAAACTCTTATTTTTAAATATCAAAATATCCTTATTATCAATACATAATTCCTTTCACCCAAAAAATTTAAGTAAATGTTTAATCCCGCCTCTATCTCATATTATGAGGTGTTTAATTTATGATAAACAGTTGCCCTACCAATTTAAATTTGTTTGTTCAAATTGATTTTTTTTGTTAGAATTGTCTTTTTACTTTTAAATATATAGAATAAAATGTGGGATTCATCTATTTGATGAAAAGTTCGGTTGAAATGTTTAATAGCCACATTCTATGGAAATGACCGATAATAAAATTCAAACTTTGTGTGCATTTGAAGGTAGATTCATAACTTATTTGATAATAAAGTTCGCGTTTGGTATTGGCATTCTTAAAACTTATATGAGTGTATTTGTAAAAATTGAAATTTATTTTTCTTTGTACCTCACTGTATATAATGTTTTGATACTATAAAAAAAATGTATGAAGGCCAAAACAAGTCCAAAAATTGTATCTCTTTCTGATGCCCATTATTTTAATGGTGGTGATAATAACATGACTAACGTAGTTGCATCCATGCATTCACATAGATGACAATGGTCATTTTTCAGATATGTTCTATATTTTTTGAATGAAGAAATTATTTAATTTAATAGGAATAATTTAATATTTTTGAACTTAACCATGATTCTCGATACATATATAATTATTTTGTATAATTTAATCAAAGTGAAAAATGAACTTTTAAATTGACTAATTTGTTATTTAAAATTTTAACTCTACTTATGTCTATTTTTTTTTTTTCCTTCTTCTTTTCTGGTTATGCAATTATCAAGTTCTGAAAATAGAATAGCAAACAGAAAAAATTGTTGTTTGTCTCAATGCAAGTGATGATTTGTCAGTATGTTCACAAAATTTCCTTGAAATATGAAATATAGTTTCATGCCTCTGTTTGCACCCTAAATTTAATTTTCAATTTAGACACATGGTGTTGGTTGATTAGAGAAAAAGATATTAATTCAGCCACATATCATTAGTTGATTGGAAGAAGAGAGGTGTCCTTTTAGTGATAATAATTTAATATTGTTATCATAAAAGACTCCTATATAAAATTGGAGTCTAAAGTCAATAAATTGCCTACGTCAATTTTATTCCACAAACACGATTTATTTGGATAAGTTTAAGACAAAAGACAAAAGGTAGATAAGATTGAGACAAATGAAGTTTTTTAATTCAAATATAATATTTGAATTTGAAAAGGAAACTTCTTTTGCTAACTGCTGCTCCAGACATTTATAAATAACACCATAGAGCTTTGTGCAAATGGTTCACGACCATAAAAAATTTCCTCCTTCTGCAATTTCATTTTATCGATGTTTTTTATTCTCTGCAATTTACTTAAGTCTTTTACTAGGAATAGCCTAGTGTTAGATTTACACTTCTTGTACTCTATATGAGAATTTTACTTATGAAATAAAAGTCGACGCTTGGCTTCAGTCCCCTCTACTTTTATTTTCTAAGTTTCTTGAAATAGATAAATGCTCGTGTAATTTATTTTACTCCCTTCATCAATTCCGCTTATAGTGTTGAAAGTCCTCTTTATTGAGACATTGAAGAACCTAAAAAAAGGGGTTATCCTTACCTTCCAAAAGTCGCCTGATTCACAAAAGGGCCGATTACAAATGCAGTCAGCACCAAGGATAGTTTGGTTATCCAACCCCTTGGGTCGAAAGACTCTGGCACACCCCTAAAAAAAAAAAAAAAAGAGCCAAAAAATTTGGCACGTCCGGTGGGACCCCGAAAGTGTCTAAATTCAACCTATATCTATGCCATTGACTTGGTCTAAGTCACAAAATTTGCTTGAGAAACAACCTCAACATTAGGAATAAAGGCTAAAATCGAAGTAAATCAACAGCTAAGTAATCAGATGTTGGCTGAGAATATTAACAATTTAGTGCAACGGATGAAAATTTCCAGCCGTACCTTTCATGGAGCACTAGAGCCAAGCCATAACACATTGACTAATTTGAGTAACTTTTTGACCGTCCTATCAACAAGGTTTGATCAACACCTTATGGCACGGTCGAATACTACATGTTGACCAAGTATTGACTCTAGAGGGGGGTGAATAGAGTCTTGGCAATTAATGATTGATTTTTAATTTCAATTAGAATGCAAGTATTAAGCTAATTTTCTTAGCAATTGTTCAATGAGATAAACAGAGTTTTAAGCAACAAAAATATCATTATATCAAGTGATCATACATGCTGAACTTTAAGTAATAAATATAAAAGATAAAGATAGAGAGATTGCAAACATGTACTCAGCGACTTTAGAGAGGTTCGGAAACTCTTATTCCTCGGCTCAAGACCCTTCTTGAGACTTCCTAATCCACTATGGCTTTTCCTTATGGGTGGAGAGCAAACCATTTACAAGAAGCACTTCCTTGCTTCAAATTTCTATGAGAAACAACTTCTCTTAGTCTTCCTTAGGCTACACTAGCCTTTACAAAGTTTGAAGAAGAGAATTGAAGTACAAGATAATCTCTCACAGATTTATAGTACAAATTTCAGCTTACTCTAGAGTATGTATGAATAGATTGAAGCTCAATACTCTGTTGATGATATGAAATGTATAAATGGTAGGACAAAGGCTTTTTGATTGTCAGGATATATTTCTCAGAGGTTGTAATATCTTTTTATGAAGACTATAACTCATTTTATAGAGTTTCAGATGTATTTGATGTAAATTCTAGTTATTGGACACATAGTTCGAGGTAATATAGCCGTTTGGATTTGAATCTGCGCAAAGTCGGTCGACCGAAATGAATCATCAATTTGTTTCGGTGGTTAAAAATAGCTTAAGCCTGTCTTGTTTTTTTTTACTTTGGTCGGCCGAAATGAATTAGGCTTTTATTTCGATCATCCGAAACAATTTGAGTTCTTGTTGCATAGCCACTGTTAAAATCGGTTAACCGATTCATGTTGTCTTTCTATTTCGGTCGTCTGAAATAGATTGAGGTCTTGTTGCATAGCTATACTTCGGTTGTTCGATATAGCATTTCGGTTATCCGGCTATGACTTCAATTTTAAGCTTAGCTACTGTCAAGATCGGTCGTCCGTTTCAAATTGCCACCTAAATGGAATTTATCGTTCAAAAAACTTGTTCTAAGTTATAGACAATGTTTATGAAAGTGATTAATGTATGACCCTAGATATGAGCTTCTAAATGTTCATACACACTATAATGACCCTAAACTAAAACCAATTATAAAACAAAATTTCAGCATAACCTCTACTAAAAATGGGCCTACAGCAACCTGCTTAAATGAAAAAAAAAATGCAATGGCTTTTCGTGGATCTTCAAGACTCATCTAACCTGTCCCAACACACAATACAATATATATATATATATATATATATATATATATATATATATATATATATAAAATACATTCCCAAAACAACAAGATCAACAACCTCCTCAAGATGACCCATCATCATCATCAAATTCAACACAAAATATTTACATATTCTCGCTTCCCTTTAAAGTACCAACAAGAGTTATATTTACAATATATGACCATGGCTTGCAAAATATACACTTCACAATGGTTTTGTTACTTTACAAAAGTGTAGCAAATATACAAAAGATAGCAAAAAAAATATATTCTTAATCCTCCTTAAGTTTGTGAAGGGTCTGCGTCTCCTACTTCCTTCTCGAGTCCTAAAAAAAAATGTTAAATGTAATGGGGTGAGCAAATTGCTCAATAGGTGGTGCCTAAGACACACCTCTTGTGGCCCCGTGAATCCATATAATGAATAGGAATAGAGGATAGGGGTCATGTCCGGAAAAGAATACAACATAAATTTCCAATTTCAAATAAACAGTGCCATGCCATGATATGCAATGTCATGTATGTCACTCCCCATTTTCAGAAACATCCATCGCTTCACAAACTATTAATATAACCCGTCCTTTGGTGACTCTACAGTGACACAAGAGAAGGGTTGGCTACTGTCCCTGACCCTTGGTACCCCTGCGGCGTCATTTGGGGCCCAGCTAGCTCAACCACGCTAGGGTGTTTCCCCTAATTCCCTCTAGGTTACATTAAGCCCTTTGGTGACTTTGCGGCCACCGGGTTTTCTTAAAAACCATTTTTCTTAAAATTTCTTTCTAAAAAAATCCCTTTCATTTTCATGTCAAAACACTTTCCCTTTTTCTTTCATACCCAATGCTATGGATGCATGCTACATATTTTCCCAACAGTATGAAAATAGAGGAAATTTAAGCTTCACAATTTAACATGCTTCTT